TATGCAAGGAGCATGGAAGGCCAACCATATGGTTATCATAACTTGATATTCAGCTGGATAGATACTATACAAGACAACTATCCACCCCCTTTGGATGCTCACGTGGTATCATGTTATAAGTACATTTAAGATTTCATATATCATTATCAGACTGTTACAGTATTAGTAAATCAAAATTAGTTTCTTATTTTTTTTCTTTTGGTATGATGATTTAGTGTCTGATTTAGTTGGTATTGAACTTGGTGGTTTCCATTACCTGTTTGGGTTGTGGCCTGGGATTCTATAAAGGACTTAAAAAGCTACCTGTTAGATGCTTTAACCCAATTATTCTCTTTATGGTTTATAATTTCTGGCTTTCAGACAACCACGTTATAAACTTGCGGGTACAGCTTAATCTGTATCAAGGTGCTCATGCAGCTATTATACATGCTTCCTAGTGGCCTAAAAGGGGTTCAGGATGGGAATAAGGGTAGACATTCCTTCTAAGTAAAACCTTTTTATTAGGATGATGATCAGTGGATGTTTACAACTGGAAAAGAAGATAGAAAGAAATGCTCTCTTTAGGTTCATAGTTAGATTGTTGAGCCAACTAAGAGAATATAGTTAAGTCCTGCTATCTTCCTCTCTCTCAGACATGTCTTGCTTGTGGATGCTTCTATGAGCTTGAAGAGGTTTTCTTATTCGTTGGTCCTTATTCTTAGCTCTATGGTTATGCAGGTTGCTTCTGTTGTGACAGTTTGGAATCACATACAGCCTGCATATGCTGCGAACATGTGGAATGAAGCCTTGAACAAGAGACTTGGAACTCAGGTGTTGTGAAACTTTTCCTTGCATTGCAATCCTGTGGTTATCTTGGAACTCTCTCTTTAAAAACTATGTTTTATTGCCACAAGGGCATCAGATTTTTGGAGTAAATGATAAATCAGCATTCCTTAAGTTAGAAATATCAACTGATCAAGATTTTTACTTTTGGTTAGAAGTTAAGCAATTAGTCAATATCATCTTTGAAATTCATTGTGTCATTATTATCGTTCTGAGTTTCTGATGTACCCTTTGTATTTCATGCAGAACCTTAGTTTTCCAGATATTTTAGTTGAAGTTGAAAAGAGAGGATCATCTTTTGACGAACTACTGACAGTTCCCGAACGGGATGATTGGCTATACAGTGATGGGAAGTCAACATCGTGTGTGGCCTTCATTCTTGAAATGTATAAGGAGGCAGGACTGTTTGATCCAATTGCTAGCTCTATCCAAGTCACTGAATTTACGGTGAGTTTATCCAGAACAAAATTCGATGTCTGTTTGCTTTAGAATAAACAGGTCGTTTGCATCGTCTCCAAAATTTAATCCACTGTCTAAAAAGGGGCTGAGTTGATGCTAGTTCTAGGGAGACACAAGATTAATGATGACTGACCTCTTTTATTCCCTTTTCAATAATAATTGATGTAATATTATCGTTAATCCTTTTAATTTTAAATCAGGGATATAGTGACATTTGAAAAAAAAATAAAGGAATTAGATTGTTGAGGTTCATGTAGCTTCCCATTCAAAAAGTCATCCATTGGGTGCTTTGCAAATTAGTTGTTTCATGAGGAGTTTATATGTTCGTTTTCATGGATTTAACTTTATTTGCCATAAATGCAGATAAAAGATGCTTACATGCTGAAATTCTTTGAAAATAATTCAAGCCGCCTGCCGAAGTGGTGCAATGACGGGGACACCGTGAATCTTCCTTTCTGTCAGATTAAAGGGAAGTATCGAATGGAACTACCTAAATACAACAGCATGGAACCATACTCCCATATGAATGAAAGGTGCGAATCACTGCCCCCAAAGTACTCCAGGTCACGGAATTGCTAAGTCCACAATTTGTAATTGTTAGGCCTATGGTTGATGTCATTCCAGTTTCTTCTGCTTTTAGTGTAGTTCTATTGTTGGATACAAATGAATGAAAGATGGCGAAGCTGTAAATACATTCGGTAGTCAGGTACAACAGGAGGGC